TACCGTATTAGCCGCAAAGTGCTTTCTGGGTCCAGAGCTGAGGCACAGCCCCACATGTGACCCTGCCTCTGAAGGTCTAAATGAATAAAGCTGGTCGGGTTAAAGCAACAAAAGCTACTTCACTCTTTGCACTGCTAAAATTCCGGTCACCTCCGGTTTTACCTCAGCACTCTTATTATCACCAGCTTCCTGGGTTTGGAATACTTGAGGCCTTGTTTCATTACTGATACGCAGACATAACATGTTTTCCCAAATACACACAGAGGACAGTCCTGCTAGTAGTTTTGGGTGTATTTACCTGGTTTGCGCTGAAGGAACTGAAGCTTGTAATCCGGAACTTGGGTTAATGCTTCACTGGACTGGGTCAGGTTAAATGACTCCTAGAACCATGTTCTGGATCAAGGCTGAGTTCCTCAGTCAGGCCCCAGCGACCCCTCCCGGTGTTTAAGGTAGATTGGTCTTGACCGTTCTCTCACGCTTGTGTTTCGTAGAGGGCTGCGATGTGCAAGGAGGGGGCTGGAGGAGGGTGCAGCTGTGCTAAGAAAATTGCCTTTTCCTGAAGTCAAATTTGCTCGCAAGTTCAGTGGCCCATTGCAAGTAAAAATAAATTGTTTATGCCAAGTAAAATGTTGCAGTTAAGCAATTAAAAATATTTAATTTTTCTGTGCTTTTACCTGCATTTATTAAGTATGTTACAGGGTCTCTTTAATGTGGGCACAGAAAACAAAAAATATCTGACCGTTCTACCCCACTATGTGCTTAATTGCACTGTGTCTACTATTATGAAACGATTCTCCTCACGTTCTGTCCAGGCAATATAACTGCATGGGAAAATATCTCTAACAGCACAGATAGTAACACTTTCTATTTGCTGAGTCCCATATGGGTTGGATGTCCCTACAGTTGTACAGAGCACTCTGGGATGCAGATGCTGTGTCCAAAACCATGCTTTTTCTACGATGGATTCCATCTCTTTGGTTTTATTCTTGATGTTATTGTCAAGGATACCACAAGAGGTCAGAGCATACAGCTGCCTCAGCATAGGAAGTCCAAGGAAAGGTCCAGTCCCAGCCTTCAACTCCATTTGCTTCTGAAATTAGTACAACCAAGCAAGCTATGCCTGATTTTTAGACAGCAAAAAATATGCTAAGGCCCCAGGGAAGCCTCCAGAATAACGGTGCAGTTCTATTTTTCCAAATTGGGGGGTGGGGGGGATGTTTGCTAAACCTTGCGGGCCCTGGGGTAGTTTGCCCTTAAGGCATTTAGGTGCAGGAGTGACCCTTTATGCAAACAGGCCAATCCCTTGCGTCTGGCACTCTCTTCTCTATTTCTACTCGTGCAGATAAACAGATCGTGTCCTACCACTGAAGGCTCTCCTCCACCTAGATTCCCTTGCTCTAGTTTCTGTATAAGTGTGACCTCCGGAGCTGTGTCACATTCTGAACACCATCCTCCCTCTCTCATTGTATCTTTTTCATTGGGGCTTGTAAGGTTGTCATTGGTACCTGGTGCTTCTCAGTGTTATCACCCTCCTTTTAAACTTTGGGCTATAAACCCTCAATGTCATTCCCACACACCTGATACTTAAAGCGTTGGATTCTGCCCTGGTGCTTTTTCCTGGCATCCCCAAGGAAGAGAGCAGTTACTGAAGGCCCTACTAGGCAACATCTTCCTGAACAGCCTAATGCCTGTAAAATCCAGCTGGATCTGGCTTTGTCAAGGTTCAGTATTGGAACCTCTTTAACACCTGTAGTCGATTTTCACTATGCTTTTTTATTTTTTTTAACACTGTAATGCTTAGCATAAATAACACAATCACCTGTGCCTACAACGGTTATGAAATATAATTTACATATAAATAAACTTAATTGGTGATCTAAATAAAGTCTTTTCTTTCACACAATTTTTAAGACCAAAAAACAGTGCAGAATAAAAAAAAAAGGAGTTTATTTCCAGGAATGCAAAAACCTTAGAAGTAAAGTGTACATGAAAGTTGAGCACATACACTATATTGCCAAAAGTATTGGGACACCCCTCCAACTCATTGGATTCAGGTGTTCCAATCATCTCCGTGGCCACAAGTGTATAAAATCAAGCACCTAGGCATGCAGACTGCTTCTACAAACATTTTTGAAAGAATAGGTGGCTCTCAGGAACTCAGTGAATTCAAGTGTGGTACCGTGATAGGTTGCCATCTGTGCAATAAGTCCATCCGTGAAATTTCCTAAAATATTCCGCGGTCAACTGTTAGTGGTATTATAACAAAGTGGAAGCAACTGGGAACAACAGCAACTCAGCCACAAAGTGGTAGGCCATGTAAAATGACAGCGTGGGGTCAGCGCTTGCTGAAGCGCACAGTGCGCAGAAGTCGCCAACTGTCTGCAGAGTCAATAGCGACAGACCTCCAAACTTCATGTGGCCTTCAGATTGGCACAACAAGAGTGCATAGGGAGCTTCATGGAATGGGTTTCCATGGCCGAGCAGCTGCATCCAAGCCTTACAGCACCAAGTGCAATGCAAAGCATCGGATCCTGTTCCAACATGACTGCGCACCAGCGCACAAACCAAGGTCCATAAAGATATAGCGAGTTTGGGGTGGAGTAACTTGACTGGCCTGCACAGGGTCCTGAATTAGAGCAGAGACTGCCAGCCAGGCCTTCTCGTCCAACATCAGTACCTGACCTCACAAATGCGCTTCTGGAAGAATGGTCAAACATTCCCATAGACACATGCCTAAACCTTGTGGACAGCCTTCCCAGAAGAGTTGAAGCTGTTATAGTGGCAAAGGGTGGGCCAACTCAATATTGAACCCTACGGACTAAGATTGGGATGCCATTAAAGTTCATGTGCGTGTGAAGACAGGTGTCTCAATACGTTTGGCAATATAGTGTATGTATAAAAGCCCAATCAAAGGTGCAAACACTAATACTATAGATTTGTATAAAAAGTCCAATAAATAAGGAGTGACATTGAGGAGTTTAAAGTACCGTATACAAAAAAAGAAAGACAATGGAAGAATGGGTACCCCCCCACCTGCCACCTCCAATGGGAGGGCCCAAGAAAGAAAGAAAACATTTTTTTGTCACCAATTGCTAAAATGGCAAAATCTCCACAGGAGGGAATAAGAAGAAAATAAGAGAGAAGAGAATAAATAAAGTCTTTTCAACAAATCTTTGTGTTTTTCTTTCATTATTTCACTCCATGGAATACACACATTGACAAATGTGAATTATCAATATGTGATCAAAATAAAGTCTTCAATAAATCCTCATGTTGTATTCCATTAATTCCACTCCATGTGCTTGCACCTCTCTCCACTCAAAATAGAAAACACACTCATTGTTTGTTTAATTTGCCCTGCTAATAAGGAAAGGCAAAGGCATATATGTATATCCGTGAGGCCATAAATCCTTTTAATCTGAATCCTCCAGATGAGATACACTGCACCATTAACTGAAGGTCTGTATGCAGTTAGAAATGTAATCTCATGCAGCTAGATATACTGCTCCTCATATGTAGCTTGTCACTATTCATAGAAGCCATATAAAATGAAGCAAATAAGTCACAAATGGTGTAAAATCCCCAAATTTGAATAAATCATGAAGGTTAAAACAATATTGATGATAGGCTTGACAAAGCCCATTGGATGCAATGCACAGGTGGAGCTTGTTGACATAATTGGTGGGCAGAGCTACTGTTGGCCTCAGGCGGCATTACAGTCTAAGCTTACAGCAAGAGATGATTGTGTGGACTAGCCCCAGAGAGAGACCGCTATACAGAGAGCGCTTTTAATATTGCCCATGATGTTTCATATAGTGCACTAGTAACATGTCAGTTGATGTTTTTAACAATGCCTGCCCGACCTACTCTTGTTGGGATTTTTTTTCATACACCTACCCCTTGAGCCATGCAGGTGTCGTGGTCTCATATCCTTGGTTATCTACTGGATTTAGCAGTCATTTTCACACCCTTTGTAGGTTGACGTTTTGTTCAATTTAGGGTTCTTCCCTGGTGTATTTCACCTCGATGAGGTGGTTATCTGTCCCAACAATGTCTCAAGGTACAGAGATCTAGTTTCTTGACCCCATGGGATCAGTTGAGTAGAGACTGACTGGTTTGTCTTACAAGGATCTTTTCTGAGGTCCCTTGTCTAGTACATGTCTTTGCCAGGGACTTGTTCACTTTCCTTATTAAGCATGTTGGTTGCTGGTCCCCCCCCCCCCCTTTTTCTATGTGGAAATTTGTTATTGTGCCATTCCTTGGTGGACTCAGGCTGTCCAGCTTCTTGCTTGGTCTAGGGGTTGGTGCTCTATTCGGTATTGAGTCTATCCTCTCTGCTTGGCGACTTGGTCTTGGGCATCAGTTTGATTCTCTTTATGCTCACTTTGATGGTGTTGGCAGGTTGCCCTATCAGACGGGGAGGTTTGACCTTATTTGGTGCCAGTTTTGAGTGCTGGTCCTTCAGGCAATCCAACAGTATATGACTTCTGTGTAACTCAATTGACTCCAAGAAAAGGATTTCACGGTGAGTACCAAAATCCCGTGTTGTGTGTTTTTGTTGGTTTTTAATCCACCCAAAACGGCCGCCACTAATGCAGTATCTTTTGAGGATTCAGCCTTCCTATGTCTGCTCACCTGCCTCTGCCATTATGAGGGGTTTTTAAAATGAACAGTTGGATGTTCTATGTATATTACCTACTGGAGAATACAGTGCTAGTGAGACTTTTCCAGGTGCATCCAAAGCAGAGTGATTCCAATGTGAAGTTTGGGTAGGAGAAATTAATGGGTGGTAAAACCCACCAATGTCCATCTATAATGGAAATATATCAAATGTGGTTAAAGTTACCATTTTTGTTTATTTTCAGTTTATATCTATGCTGTGTTTTATTTGCTTTTTTATTTAATTTCTGAAACTGTTTCAGCTGACCTATCCTTTTATCGGTTTATTTCATCCTTGCCTTTGTTTGTTTTTGCCTTTTTTTTCCCTCATTTTTTTTTAGAATGTCCCAGAAGTGAAAAAGTATGGCCCTTTCCATCCTTATGTGAATGCCAAGGTGTGTAAACCCCTTTCCTGCCAAACTACCTTAATTTCCCTTTTCTATTCATGTCATGTTTTTTGTTTTGTTTTTTTTCTGGCATAGGTGCTTGATAAGAATCTGCTATCTTTCGCAGGCAGTAGTTTTCTTGCTATTGCTTTAGGCTGTCCTGTGTGCTGTTTTAGGTGGCCAGTTTTTAGTTATAATTTCAAGTAGCTGGAAAATCTGATGTTTACTGTCCTTTTTAATGTTTGTATCTGCTCTGATGTATACCTACATTTTTTTTTTTCATAACTACACACTGTTTTCTTGCTGTGCAGTAGTTATATTTTGCATGCTACTAACTATTTATGTTAGTCAGAAACTGTCGAATATAGAAGTCTAGAAAAAACAACATGCCAGTTTATGACGATGTCCGTAATCTCAGTTTTGGTGTACTTTAACAAAATGATTACATCTATAGCTGTCAGGCTAAAATAGGATTGTGTTTTTTGTTTCCTCCTAAGCTTGTAAGACGGCATACAAAATACCAACGGTGTTATTCACAAAGGAGTGAAGAGCTTGGAGAAGGCAGGAGAAATGAACAATCTAGGACAACATAGCTGAACTGGAAAGTGAGCTGAATTGGAGAATTTTTCAAAATCGGCTATTTTGGCCTAGATTCTTCACTTCTCCTACCTTCTCCAAACTCTTCACCCTTTTGTGAATAACACTAAGTCTTTAACGCAGTTTATGTTTTATAATTTTTTTATATAAATTTATTCCCTATTTAGTGTCCCTCCTTAGTGGGCAGCCTGGCATTGCATGTACCTATATCTCTAGTGAGAAAACACGACGGCCGCATACTGGTACAGACTGGAAAGGTCCAGACGGACCTTGTATGCTCTCTGTAACTGCAAGCTGGTCTTGGTTCTCACAAATTCGGTGTAATAGCCTTACTCTGGATACGATTAAAGCTTAGGCTTAACAAACATGCAACGGCTTCTTCTTTGCATTAACCTATCCTTTATACTACATAAGGGTATCCGACATGCTTGGAAGAATCTATTATGCAGAATATAATAGAATTACTAATAAATCAGTAATTGGTCCTCACATCTCAGAGTATTTGTAAAACTACATGCGTTGCCCTTTAGCAAGTAGATTCCAACTTTATCCCTTTTCGGTTTGAAAATTAACAGAAACAGTTTGGTTGGCTATTACTGACCATAATGATTCCCTGCTGCCCCCCTTTCATCTTCCTTTCCCACCAGAGGGCTGTTCAGGCTTTATCCAGAACTAGAATTTACTTCTTGGAGATAAATTGCCCATAAACTTTAGAGGGTAGTCGGTCTTGCAGTTTCGATCATCTTCTAAGAAGAGCTCTCATCCGGCAAATTGCAAAACTACCAGAGTAGGATAATAGGGAACATTAGGAAAGCTGTCCAGATCTCTCTTTGGCTGAAGTTTATACCAGTGGCTGAATAGTAATTTTCTCATTCGCCCAATATGGCTGATGCTCCCATCAGTGGCTGGTTGGCATGGAGGTGTTTCACAGACATGAGATTGTCACCCTATTTACCTGAAATGGGTACCCTAAGATGCTTGCACATGGATAACATAGTAGAAAATAGTTGTCTATGCATATCCTTTGTGCAGGATGTCTCGTACAGCTCAGCCCCGTCCTGTAGTTTTTCATGAGTTATCATTCTCTCAGAATGCTCCTCTCAGGCAGACCTTGTTCAGGGTATGGTCACATGGCTAGACTTCAAAGACCTACTTTTACCAAACTTCTTTTTTTTTATACATTTCTACTCTTGCTGTTTGTTGAGACATGTCCTTAATGTATTTCTGCAGACTGGTAAAATTTATTGACAGGTTCACTTTAATGATAATAAATCCTTTACAAGTTTTTTTGCTCCTTGACACTATTTTTCAAAAAACAGGTTTTTCCATGTGAATAAACAGTTTGTAGAC